CAAAACTAAGCAGGTAAACTAATGGCACCTCACTGAGAAATGACCAGCCTTCAATGTTGACGTCAGGAGAGGTCACAGCGTAGTTACTTAAAGGGACAGTTCACCCTAAAATAAACGTTCTGTCATCATTACCCACCCTCAAGTCATTCCAGACTTTCGTTCATCTTCAGAAAACAAATAAAGATATTTTTAATATTCTTTCATACTTTTTGTTCACAAAACCAAAATTTCCATGCTTCAAAAAGCACATGTAGACATTGCTCAACCATGTTTGACATGGAGAAAAAATCTCAATAGATTTTGCATGTTAAGCAATCACCCTGTGATTCTGTGTTTGCAATATTTGATGAGCTCTATATGTGCATTGATCAAAGCCTAAATTAAATCTGTTATCTTATAAAGCAATAGTGCCTCTTCAGACGACTTGTATTAAACCAATTTCTGTATATATGGATTACTTTTACAGTGTCTTTATAAACTTTCTGAAGCTTGGAAATAGGGGTGTACAATACTGACAAAAAATGTAAACATTTTAAATTCTTACATTTTTAAACAAATTGTTTAAAAAGGCGGATTCATTTAGAAATGAAGCAAGTGACTGTTTGTATTTATGAACTGATCATTGAATCATTGACTCAAACGATTAGTTCAAAAACAGATTCATTCAGGAATGAAACACCGCAGTGTTGCTCTGTAATGCACAAATGTTCTGCTCCAGCTTTGTTTGGAACTGTTTTCATTGGTGAATCTGAGAAAGAAAGAAAAACAGACAATATTGTGCCTAAAATGTAACTCACTCAATATTAACTTAAAAATTTAAAATCTCATTTGCGATCACACGCACACTGTAATATTGAGGAAAACGGCACTGTTACATGTGTGTGATATTACTTAACTATATAAATATAAAAATCAAAAGCCTATACAGGGATATTTTTTGCTTTCATAACTTGAATTATAGGGGCATTCTAACTGCATTCTAATAGACTTCATCATACAGTGAATGCTTTTGGATTTTTTTTTTTTGCAAAGTCAGGGACATAGGCTACTTGATAATGTTAACATTAAAACCGCATGGCCTTAAAACAACAATGATGATATTATTGCAGACGATAACCATCACAAACCCCTACTTGGAAATTTTGGTTGCGTGTACTGTCAATGAAAGGACAAAAACGATGAGAGAATATTCAAAATATCTTCATTTGTGTTCCAAAGATGAGCAGAAGTCTTGCGTTTGGAACAACGGGAGGGTGAGTAAAGTCTGAGTTTTCAGTGACTAATAACCACCATTCAAATATTACAAACCAAAAAACTGCATCAAGCATTGCTAAAACTCATATAAATGGATTATATTTTACAGGATTACCAGTGTAAAATGTCAGGAACACTGTTTAACAACACTGTTAAAAACAACAATAAAATACAGTATATCATGCTTTGATCATTTTAATTGAACCAATATACTGATCAAACATCAATCAGCCACAAAGTGACTTTAATAACTAAACTAGTTCTTGTTTCATATCTGTTGGAATAAGCATTGTTCTAGTAAGGAAGTTACAACACTCTTTGCTTTTCCTTTAGGAAGGTGTGCCCTCAAGCTCTAGTTTTCCATTCACCCTAATTAGCACAATAGCTTCTCCTTCACAGTGGCCAACATTTAATCTGTCTCAAGTGGCTTTAATGTCAGGGATCTGAACCTGATTCTGCTGAGACAGCATACTATGAGCCATGACTAAATACTCTGGAAAATATCAAACCTCAATTAAAAAGCAAACCCAGATGCTTGATCCTTTTCATGTGTCGTGCTGGAAACACAAGCAATGATTTCCATGTGTTCATCAAAGGAGAGTAACAAGGTGGGCTGGCACAAGATAAATGTTTCGTTTACTTCGGCCCAGCACTTGTGCTCAACTTCCTCAGAGAGGTTAATGACAAACTTTAAGATTAACTTTTTACAAATGGTCCATTAATGATTTCATGTGGGGAATCAATAAAAAGTCTATGTATGTACACTAAAGAATTTGTCCATTATGAAATGTCCCAGTTACATATAGATATGTACAAATATAGCATTTTAATGCAGTTGCCAGTGTACATCCTAAAGTCAAGCGAGTTATCAAAAGACATGGTGTAAAATAGGGGTCCTTAACAGGGGGTCCACAATGGAACAACAGGAAGGTCTGCCAATGTTATAAAAAAATATTTTTTGAATTAAAATAAAAAAAAGTTCCCAAAACAAAGTAAAAGTTAATAATCTAAAGTACAGCTAATAATCAGTGTTATTTTAGTATCATTTATAAAGCATTAATTAATATATTGAATTAGCTTTTGTTTTATATTTTCAGTTTTCATTTTAAGTTTGTTGTGTACTGTTGTCATCTTATTACTTTCTTTTTTATATTTCTGTTTAGCTTTCTTCGTATTTCAGTTTTCATTTTAGTACTTAAGCACTTAAGTCAACTTATTTCATTGCAGTTACTTACAACATTTCTGATTTCCATATGTAGTTTTTCATTTAATATTTACATTACAGTTCATATTCTATTATATTTATGTTATATTCAGCTTAATTTCAGTTAACAAAAACGTTCATAGTTTTAATTAATGATAAGAACTCTGAGCTAAATGTATCATTCTCTCACACAATAAGTATAATAATTATACAGTAACAATAATATGATACTAAACAAACACACTATTATTGAACAGACAACACTCAATTTTATGCAGTAGGTCTCTCCTAGAGGTCCTTTGTCTGAAAAAGTTTGAGGACCCCTGGTTAAGTAATCAAAACTTAGGGATCATAGTCAATAGCTGAGACTACAGGATACACTTGGTAAAAAAATATATTGATTTCTGTATTTATAAGAAATCTAGATATGTGGATAACGTGGTAAAAACTAAATTTGCATGAAACCAAAAAAATCAAGCAAATAATAGCATGTGAAATCTCGATTTGGTTGCAAACTATACATTTCGAATCAAAAACACATCACAGAGCATAAATCTTGCATCCACTACAGAATATGATTTTTTTGACATTCATGACTTGCAGTGGCATGAAGTGGAGATGCCAGGAGTCTAAGAGCTTCCCATATAAAGTTACACCTGGTTGTTTACACTCATTCACATGGAGTTTCAGTTTCACCAGGAGAGTCAATGAGACACAAACTTGATGCAAAAACTTCCAGTGCGTTTAACCTTTCTGCCATACAGATGCTTAAATCATCAACAGACCCTTCCTCCTCTGTCTACAGTATCTGACACTGAGGGGCTCAACATGTAAACCCCACTGTCTTAGCATAAACATCATGTGAAACAGCAGTTGATCTACAAACAACAAAACTCAATGTTTACAGATAATACAGTACGTTAGCATGCTAGTAACCTACACTAAGTATCTATTTTTTCGCGACATACAAGTAATTCAAAGCTCATCCGAGAATACTCACTATTTCATGTTTATGTTTTTATTATAGCGTGTATACCTCGGGAGTACATGACAGTCATGCTCCGTGTTTGTCAATAGCTCAATCATCACATCAGCAAACAAGCTAGCACGAGAACTACAGCGCTACACATTAAATCTCTGACTGCCATATAATGTCGCTTCTTACCCTGTTCCCTATAGCTGTGTCTAGCTTGCTTGTCGTAGCCCCTTGGTTTAATGCAACATAACTATCCTTGATGTGGTCACCCATGTATCCAGGGATTGCTTCTGTTTTTCTTTGGGACTCAAGTTTTTTTTGAGGAAGTGAGATGGCCGATGCTCGTCTGAACTCTGTGACGCAAAGCGGTGTTATAGGCCAGTCACCATCGGGGGGCGCCAGTGTTCCGTCTGTCTTTTTGTATATGTTATAACTTACTTAAAATGTATTTACTTTTAATACAATTACTTTTAATTTACACCGAAATGTTTAAAGGTACAGTTAACGCAAACATATAAATTTTAGTTTTACTTTTACTTCTCAGTCACCATTCACCTTCATTGTAAGGAAAGAGTGAGTCATTATGAAAGTAGCCAAAGAGCAACATGCAGTTTTGGAACAATGTTGGGGTGAGTAAATTTTGTGTTGAATACACAGGGATAATTACAGAAATAATTAATTTTATTCATGACAATTTTCTAAGAGTGGAATTTGCCAATGAAAATATTAAATATTAAAATAAGCAAATAACTGCATTTAAATATCACACAGCAATGTCACTAGTCATTACAAAATGGAAAGTTTGATTCTAACAAACAAGGTATTTAAAGGGATGGTTCACCCAAATGAAAATTCTGTCATTAATTACTCGCCCTCATGTCATTCCAAACCTGTAAAACCTTCGTTCATCTTCGGAACACAAATTAAGATATTTTTGATGAAATCCGAGAGCTTTCTGACGCTACCATAGACAGCAAGGATCCTAACACGATCAAGGTCCAGAAACGTAGTAAGGACATCATTAAAATAATCCATGTGACATCAGTTGTTCAACCGTAATTTTACGAAGCTACAAGAATACATGTTGTGCACAAAGAAAACAAAAATAATGACTTTATTCAACAATTCGTCTGAATCACCCTGGCACCATTTTGGAGAGTATCACATACGTAAACAATGTATGCAACGTATGTACGCAGATACGTTGTTTACACTTTGATCTGAATGTAAACAACGTATCTGCGTACATACGTTACATACGTATGTGATACTCTTCAAAATGGCGCTATAGAGTGAGGCGGAGATGAATTGTTGAATAAAGTCATTATTTTTGTTTTCTTTGCGCACAAAAAGTATTCTCGTAGCTTCGTACTCTCGTATTACGGTTGAACCCCTGATGTCACATGGATTATTTTAACGATGTCCTTGCTATGTTTCTGGACCTTGATCGTGTTAGGATCTTTGCTGTCTATGGGAGGGTCAGAGAGCTCTCGGATTTCATCAAAAATATCTTAATTTGTGTTTCGAAGATGAACGAAGGTCTTACAGGTTTGGAACGACATGAGGGTGAGTAATTAATGACAGATTTTTCTTTTTTTGGGTGAACTATCCCTTTCAATATTAAGAAATACAATAATTCACTCACTGCATTTTACACAACAATTTCATAATAGATATGAATATTAATCCCTTTTGACAAGGCACAATTAACAAACCTGAGATTACGATGTAAATACTTTTCTTCTTTACGATGTCTACTTGTTTTTCTGAACAGGCACCACATCCATTGGATTGTGTAGGAATTCATAAAGCTGCCTGGCGTTGCTACTACTGCCCAATATCTCACTGAGCTTTTCCTGACTAAATGTTATAAGATCAGCCAGACAGGAAGCGTGTTTTATAAGGCTCTTGAAGTTTTTCACATTGACTCCAGGCATACGTAGCAAGAAGTCGTGAGGGCCGGGGTTGTACAGGTCTGCTGATTCTGTCACCATCTCTGATTCCGCAGTAACGGCCTGAGCTGTAGCAGCATCAGGCTCCGGGCGGCCGTGTTTGAGCTCCTGAAACAGCTCTGCTGTCACATAGGGAGACGGGCACCAGAGCAGCCTCAGGCGGGGGAAATGGAGGGTGAGGAGGGTCAGTTTGGAGGTGACGTCACTGGCAGAGATCTCCTGACGAAAGTCACTGCGGGCCACCAGGGAGAAAGGCTTCGCGGGGTCAAACTCGATAAGCAGCACGGGACGGCGATAGAATCGAGTCATAGAGAGGCACTGTGTGTAGAGACGCCCACTCTGCAGGGAACCAATGAGGTCGCTGACACTTTTGCGCTCCACGCAGATCTCTGAAGTCAATATGTAGTCGCCAACCTCTAAGGTGACGGGTTCAATGTCGAGACCCCGTTGATGCAGAAGGGAAGGAAGCTCACTGCGGAACTCCCGCATGTCAACTATGATTCGCTGAGGCTCTTTAACCTCTTCACGACCCCCTAATTGAACATATCAACCATTATTCAGCACATTACATGTTGAACTGACAAAACCATATTGTATGAATACGTCAAGTGGAACAATGAATGTTTACCTGCTTTGCGGGTGTTGGTGGCAGCATTGGCAGGTTCCTGACTGCGGACAAGATCTAGGTTGGTGTCTTCCCTACCCTCTCTCTCTTCTGGCACAACCATGCTGGCCTTTTCCCTATTTTAAAAAGAAAAAAGCAGTTTTTAAAATAAGCAGTGTCACAAAAAGATAATGCAGTTGAACTCAGATAAATAGGAAATATTGAGCTAACCTTATGAGGTACTCGAATGCTTGTTTTTCTTTGCTCAAGACTGTAAGATACCTCTGTTCTTCTGTCGAGCCTCCATATATAAGAAAATACACACTAAACATGAGGGGAAAACAATCAGGAAAGTTAAATATATTATATCAAATCTAAATAAGGATTTTTTTATTATTTATCTAAATAAGTTTAATTATTCATATAAGAATATATTTTATTTACTGAAGATGTATTAAATTCAAAAGTCACATTATAAAAACATTTATAATGTTATAAAATATGTGTCAAATGAATGCTGTTCTTTTGAACATTCTATTCATCAAAGAATCTTGTAATAAAAAAAATATTAAGCCGCACAACTGTTTTCAACATTAATAATAATAAAAAAAACACTTCTTGTGCACCAAATTAACATAATATAATGATTTCTGAAGGATCATGTGGCACTGAAGACTGACATAATGCCTGTTCATCTTTGCCATTACAAAATTTTGCATTTTAAAATTTATTAAAATAGAAAACGGTTATTTTAAATTGTAATAATGTGAGACAATATTACCTTTTTACTGTATTTTTGATCAAACAAATGCCGTCTTGGTCAGCACAAGTTATTTCAAAAACATTTTAAAAATCTTACCAACCCCAAACTTTGAGTACTATTAATTGTTTCTTAGAATATACATTTGCTCCATGCCAATATACACACCGGAGAGGTTTTCCTGGCCTGCTGGCTTTATAAATCTCAAGTTGCCGCACAAAACTGAGTTCAGCATCATACAAAACAACAAACATAGGGTCAACTTCATGCAACACCCGTGTCAAACTGTACGGGTCGCTGCATCCCTTCAATGGGTGAATGACAGTCAACGGCTCTTTAAGAATGCCATAGTAGTCATCGGAAGAAAGATCAAGAAGAATATCTTCTTCTTCTTCCTCCTCTTCCTCTTCAGCCATCCTTCCTTCATCTTCACTGTTTCCAATTAGGTTCTTTTCAGCTCCATCTTCCTGCCTTTCCATCTGAGAGACTCTTGACGGTCTCTCATTCTTTGTTCGTCTCTTTGAGTTGGTTTTGGTTTTTTTAGGCCGCCCATTTTTCCCTTTGCTCTTAGCGGAGTCCTTCTTGGGCCAGCCTTTGTCAAGCTTCAGTAAATCAGGCTGAGGATCTTCTTTTCCAATGGTGCGTGAATAAAGGCGATTCAGTAGCTGCTCTGCTCCTTTTTGGATATATTCTTTCAGCTGAGCGCATGTTCTGTCATCACTGGCGCATATCAACACACGGCCTGGTGTACAGACCACAAATTTAACTTGATGCTTTGCATATGAATGGTTATAATGAAACACTTTACTGTTAAATGGTTTTACCTGGTTCATGCTCAGAGTTGCTGTTTTCTTTCTCAATCTCCCGTAGCACCTCTGTTAGCGCTTTCCATTTTGGATTTTTCTCAAGCACAAGCTCTCTTATTGGAGGGGCTAGTTTTATACATAAATAGAAAACACGATACTAGTATGCACGTGTATTAAAAATCTGAAACAAAGTATGTAAACACCTTTTAGAAGAAACACTACACATCAAACATATTGTACCTAGGGCACTTTGTTTCTGGTCAGTCTCTCCAACTTTAAGTTTCTTCTTTGACTCATGAATGCGATACACGCGACTGCGAGCATTTACAAACATTGATGTGCTTGAGTCCAAGAATAACCAACCTGATTCAGAACAGGAGAAAAAAAAGAATCAGGGGGCCTTTACAGACAATAATTTGCTCCATCTCTGAAGAGTTCAAATAGAGCAACAGATCAGCTGACTGTACCTGAATTACTACCGAAACTTTTCTGGCTGGTTCTCAAAGACTCCAGCAGATTGAGGAAGGTGACACAGTCGTACTGAGTGAGGTAGAGGAGAAGGGTTCTTAAAATCTTCAGGTCCTGAACGAGAGATTTGGTCCTGGACCCCAGCTGATGCCACAGTGGGTCAAGATAATGACGAATTGTCTTCATTTGAAAAAAAAAAAAAAAAAAAAAAACCTGGTCAGCAACTCACAATTTATTTAATTTATCTTTCTTTTTTGTTTTATTGTTTTCTTTTGCTTTTTGTTTTAAATTGTTTTTAAATAATTTCTTATTTATATTTGCCTCAGCAATACAGCACTTTTTAAAAATGAAAGTGCCCCTATTATGGGTTATGAAAGGTTCGTATTTTGGTTTTGAGAGTCCCCAACAACAGGTTGACATGCATGCAAGGTCAAAAAACACTTTCATTGTCTTATAATATGCATTTATTTTTACCTTACTTGCTCAACGACTCCCAAACGATTCGCTCAATGATTCATTTTTCCAAACCCCTCCTTTGCGTGACGCTAATCTGCTGTGATTGGTCCGATTGGCGATTGGTCATTTAATTTTCATTTCATCAAGCCTGTAATGCCTGATAAAGCAGGGTTTGTGAGGGCAGTGCTGCTTTGTGTACAGCCGTTACCAGGGAAACAGCTATTTTTACCGCTCAAAAAGCTGCACCTAGTGGCAAAGAATGAATTTGCATTTTCAAGTTTTCCCGGGTCTGAGCGTGCAACAAGTGGGCGGGCAATATGCTAATGTTTCATGTTGATGTCACATGAAACGGCTTGGGATTCGTTTTAAAGGGGTCATATGATGCGATTTCAAGTTTTCCTTTCTCAATCCATAATAGGGGCGCTTTAATATAAAAATAAATACAATTATTTATAACTATTATTTAATACAATCATCATTTAGAATATGTTTATCACTATTATAAAATATAATGTAATTATTATGATTACTGCATTTAAAATAATAATGATAATACTAGTAATAATAAAAATTTGTTTTTGTGTTATTGTGATTTTTTTTTTTACATAGTTTACATAGTACAGTACAATGAATAAGTGGAAGTGTCCACTGTGATTTTCATAAAAATAAATAAACACTATTAAAATAAATAAAAAAATTATTAATTTATATAATAGTATTATGTTTTATTTATATTATATATACAATAAATATATTATACATATTTATATTGTATTATTAGCCACACTTTATTTTAAGGTCCAATTCTCGCTATTAACAAACCATTAACTACGACTTTCGCCTCAAACTCCTAATTTGCTGCTTATTAACAGTTAATAAGGTAGTTGTTCAGTTTAGGTATTACGTAGGATTAGGGATGTAGAATATGGTCATGCAGAATATGTGACTTTATAAGTACTAATAAACAGCCAATATGTTAGTAATAATAATAATAATAATAATTAATTACATTTATATAGCGCTTTTCTAGGCACTCAAAGCGCTTTACATTGTCAGGGGGGTATCTCCTCATCCACCACCAGTGTGCAGCATCCACCTGGATGATGCGACGGGAGCCAGAGTGCACCAGAACGCCCACCACAGGAAATACTCTGTGTATTGTCACCAGCGGAGGTGAGACTGATGATAATGAAATGTATAGAAATTGATCATTGAGACGCTTTACACTGATCAGCATGTGTTTGCAGGAGCTCATGGGACGCACGTCGCTAGCATTGCAGCGGGTCACTTCCCTGATGAGCCCGAGCGAAACGGTGTCGCTCCAGGAGCTCAGATCCTGGCTGTGAAGATCGGAGACACCCGCCTCAGCACCATGGAGACGGGCACCGGCCTCATACGAGCTGTAAGAGACTAACACTCAATCATCATGACGTCTCCGCGTATAACATGAGTCCAGCTGACAGGCATCGATACATCATCAAGAACTATTAAAACTCTTAAATCAGGGCTATTTTAGTATCATCTATGAACTTTTATAGTAGCTTTTTTTAAAAATTTCAGTTTTAATTTTAATTTTAGTTTGAGTAATTTTGTTATGCACTTTTTCTTTTTATTAATATTTAAAAAACATTTCTAATATAAAAGTAAAAATTATTTATATTACATTTTTTAACAATTTTATTTCTGATTTAGTCATTTTTGTACTTCAAACTTAAAATTATTTTATTTCAGTTAGTTGCCAAACCAGCATTTCTAATTTTCGTTCAAGTTTTTCATCTAATATTTATATTTTATTTCCGCTTTAAGTTAGCGAAAACGATTGTTAATAGTTTGTTTACAATAATAACGCTTTAATAATAATAATAATAATTCATTACATTTATATAGCGCTTTTCTAGGCACTCAAAGCGCTTTACATTGTCAGGGGGTATCTCCTCATCCACCACCAATGTGCAGCATCCACTTGGATGATGCGACGGCAGCCATAGTGTGCCAGAATGCCCACCACACACCAGCTTGAGTGATGAAGCCAATCAGCAGATATGGGGATTGTTAGGAGGCCATGATGATCAGAGGCCAATGGGCAAATTTGGCCAGGATGCCGAGGTCACACCTCTACTCTTTTCGAAAGACATCCTGGGATTTTTAATGACCACAGAGAGTCAGGACCTCGGTTTAACGTCTCATCCGAAGGACGGTGCTTGTTATAGTAGTAATAACCATAGTTAATTTAAGATCAAAATCTAAGGTCACGGAGTAGAAAAGAAACAAATAAATAAAATACCGTATTGTCCCGAATATAAGACGATATTTTTTTCTTGGAAATACAACTGAAAAAACGCAGTTGTCTTATATTCAGGGTCTAGACTTTGACATGTCAATAATACACCCTCAACAACTAGGTGGCGCCAAATACGCATAAAACGAGTGTGCCATGAAATACGTAATGTAATGCGTGTTGTAAATATCGCGAGTAAAAACAAAAGAGAAAGAAAACCTAACAGCTGCATGAGGCGTGCCATACTTTCAAAACAAAAATTAAAATAGGAAAAATATGCAATATGAAAATAATTGAAGACAAAATGTGTTTTACTGAGAAAAAACAAGATTTGGTTTTTAAAAAGCCTTTTTCCAAAAGGTACATCTGGAAAAAGGGGGGTCGTCTTATAATCAGGGTCGTCTTATATTCGGGCCAATACGGTAATAAGTTAAATAGGAAATGCAGTATTATTATTATTATTGTATGTTGTTTAAAAAAAATTTTTGTGGTATAGTGATTTTTTTCCCCCTCATGTACAGTATTATCAATAGCACAATAGAAATGTATTTTCTCACTTTCTCAAAGGAAGTGCCCAGGCTGTTCTCCAGAGAGAGGTCTTCTGCTTCCAGAGTGGGATTGTAGCGCTTCAGCTCTTTCAAGCAGGCGTTCATGATGTCCAGAATAGAGCTCTGAATGGCTCTCATCGCTGGAGTCAGAGACACATGCAGCTCCACCACATCCGGCTTGTGTTTGTCCAGCGTTGTGTTTACTGATGCTTGAAATCTAGCAGATAAAGCGTTGCAAATACACCTGATTTATAAAAAACATTCACCTACAAAAATCATAATACTCAAGAGTAAAACAAAAATAAAATGTCATACCTTGGCCAAAGAAAGAGCTTCTTCACAAACAGGTTTCTCATGACACGCTCGACTTTACAGAAGCCAGAAGAGAAGGATGTGGCTTTGTCCGTAAAGGCCTTGATGAACCCGGTCTTGTTTTTCTGCCGATAAAGTCTCAGAATGAAAGCCTCCTGACAAGACTCAATGATCTTATGCGCACGATACACCAGGATTCCTGTTCAAATACGCATTAAGACAATTTAGTCCAGCAACACATTATTGAAAAACGTCTGTATAGCTCAGTTGTTTTCCCAACAGCCTTCCACTGACCTGTTATGAGGTGAGCAGGAATTCGGTCTGTAAGGAAGTCCACCACTAGGATGCGGCTGGTCACAAAGAGAACTCCTCCTTTAGTGTACACATTATATCTTTCATTATTATGTACATCACTGGTCACAGTCTGGGGAAGATGACTCACCCCTTCAGTACGGAGCTGCTCTGTAAAATACTCCTTCAACAGGCACACACATTCATCATTATTATGATTGAATCACTTTATCCCTATAAAGACTACTACATCATATATGATACATGAATGTCAAAGGCCTCTAAATTAGCAACATGATCAAAACTTTTTACTTTTTTTATAAGTAAAATATAATTCTAAAAATGTCCACCTTCAGGTCACTATTCACATGTTTTTTTTAAAACATTTTATATGGTAAGCATTACCTTAGATATTGTTTATATTGTTTCAAATATTTCAAGATAAACATTTATTGAACTTAAGTAATTTACTTGATTATCCATACTTTATTTATTTATTTATAAAAATCATTTAAAAATGCAAGGAATGTTTATTTGTATCTCAGATTCATCAATGCCTTGCATTTAATTATGTCTTGCCCCCCACAATTAAAACTACAGAGCTTGGCCATGAAACTAAGCATTTTAATATCATCTTATGGATTATTAATACATATTATTTAGAGGTATAGAGTGATAAATGATATTTACAAGCATTTTATGTAAGTAGACCGCTATATTGATTTACATTACAATCTATCAAAATTGCATCTTACCTTTTGGCCTTATAAATAACAACACCTGCACCAAATTGAATATTTTTGCTCTGTTTGGGCCTCTGAAAAAAAAACGGAGGTGTATTTCCCTCCTAGAGTATCATATTCTCACTTCTCATTATAAATATTTTGTCTAAAGGTTCAATAAACTGTTCCATTTCAAAAGATTCGGATTTTTTATTTTATTTTATTTTATGTGTCAGGCTTTACAGGCTTAAGCATAACAATTCAATGTATATAATGAAAATGTTCGTGCATGGTGTAGATTCTGTAACTTTTTATAGCCTTTCAATCAGGTTTACAATTTTGTATCACTTTTTAGGTCCTTTGCAGTTCACATGAACATATACAAGCGACATGCATACCGGTAATAATTATACCAGAATTAGCTAAATGTAAAATACGTGAGATGTATTGCCATGTCAACGAACGCTGTCCTCTCTTACTGTATATCAGTTGCAGTATAACAGGATAAATCAGCCTGACCCACCTGTTCAGGAGTGGTTGTGTTTAACAGGAGCACCAGGCTGCCCTCCTCTGAATACACTCTCATGAAGTGTAAGAGAATGCGGTCGATCCCGAGCCCCTCAGCTGTGATCAGCAGTCCGTCTGTGCTGAACAAACTCAGAAACATCTCCGTCTCATACTCCAGCAGCGGGCTCGCCATCTTTACCAGCGACTGACTGAAATAATCACCTAGATTTTATGTGCTGAAATAACGCTAACGTTACTGGTTCATTGTGTCTGCTTTGCTGGATGACATGAATAGATAGTTCTAGCAGTTGTTCTACTGCCTTTTACCAGGACGAACTAAAGAATTACCCTTCCATTTAATGTCTATTTTTTGCCGGTAGTGCACACAAAATCACAGAACTGAGCAAACCCTATTTTGTTTAAGCTATATCATATTCCTTCACATTAAACAAGTTTTACTCGCCTTCGTTACTGTTTCAAACAGGCGTGTTGTGTCATGTGACGTGACGTCGCGGAGTTTAGAGCGTTAATTTCTATTGGCGCCACCTGCTGCACTGGAGGTAAAACACAAAAAGCCCAAGCACCCGTACTTTCAGCAGTAATTTCGTAATTTTCGTTCAGGTCATTAAAAATGGAGAGTGTACTTCACATAAAGTGTACTCCTACTCCATGCATGAACGTTAAACACTTGTGCATGAAGAGAAACACTTCAGTTGCTTATAGCTTCCTGTTTAAAAAAAAACACAGATTTTTTTTTTTTAACTTGGATTTTTGTAAAAACTTCAGTGGCACCTAAACTGCTATGGTGTATGGAAGCCCATTATTGCCACATGAAAAAAAAAACAATGCCGAAACAATGTCGAAATTATACAATTTTCCTCATTTTCATAATTCCGAGGGAGGTCAAAATGATGAGATAGGCTACTAAGTCATAAAGAGATAAAAAGTCAAAATTGTGACATATTAACATTGTGACATATTAACATTGTGACATATTGTGATCATCATTATGAGATGAAGTAGAAAATATTAGATAAAAAATGAAATTATGATATCATAATTAGCCTATGACTTTCATCTAGAATTTTAACTTACTTTTATGTTAGCCTATAATTTTCATGTCTTATGTTTCTTATAAATAGTCTTCTATCCCACCAATTCTCCAGATGTGTTTATAGTTAGTAGGCTATTTATTGTATTTCTCACTACAGGCTAAAAATCTATCCAGTAAATAGCATAATATTTTAGCACAGTTCAGTTATGTACGGTATTGTACATTGTTCTGTATATTGCTCATATTGCACACAGTAACACACTCATATTACACCTACACATACACTCATATATTTTTTTTAAACTGTACGTACAACATTTACCACAAACCTATTCTATTCAATTGTATTCCATTCTATTGTATTCTATTATATTCTGTGCAGAAGGCTGCAGAAACCATGAATCCCTATGAGTGTGTGCATTGCTACTTAGTGTCCTTGAGAGAGCAGTAGAGCACTTCTGTGTGGAGTGCTGCTGAAGGAGTGTTTATCAATGTTTAAGTGGGGCATGCTTAAAAATAAATAGGAAATGGATATAAAGAGCTATTATGAAGAATACAACATGTACGAGGATGTTTTTATGCATAATCCTTTTTCTTCTTTTTTTGCGTTTAGAGAAAATAGAGAGAAAAACATTTTCATATTGCTATCAACATAATTATACAAAAATATTCTGTAGCAAATACACAAAATCTATGCAAACAGATGAATTAGTTGGAAACTCGCCATATCAAACAGCTACAGTTGTTTTCAGGATTTCATGCCTCTAGGACACATTTATGAATGTGATATGTATAACTGCTATACAACACTGCTGTTTAAACCCAAACCAGCTTCTATGCACAGCACATTATCCACTCTTTAAATGTAAAGGTCTTACAGCACTTTAGCTTTCAATATAGACACCTTGTCAAGATAGAGTGAAATAGTGGATTCCAGGTCTGCATCACTCAAGGTCATGTTCAGTAATCTTAAATGCATTCTTCTGTCTCTCTGATGCTTTCATTATTTATTTTGCTTATTTGCTAAAAATGAATAGAAAGGGAAAAAACATATACAGAGTGTATCCCAGGAAGCCTTAACTCATCAAGTAGTCCGGTTTCTTGTTTGAAATTAAGCGCAAGTTACCTCGAATAAAATGAAAGAGCACCCCTTATTCATTCATTGTATCTGTCACTGAAAGGGGGGTGGGGGGGGAATCGAGAGACCTGCTGTTCAGAGAGCTTGTTTTGGTTTTCGAGGTCGACATATTAACATTGTGACATATTAACATTGTGACATATTAACATTGTGACATATTAACATTGTGACATATTAACATTGTGACATATTAACATTGTGACATATTAACATTGTGACATATTGTGATCATCATTATGAGATGAAGTAGAAAATATTAGATAAAAAATGAAATTATGATATCATAATTAGCCTATGACTTTCATCTAGAATTTTAACTTACTTTTATGTTAGCCTATAATTTTCATGTCTTATGTTTCTTATAAATAGTCTTCTATCCCACCAATTCTCCAGATGTGTTTATAGTTAGTAGGCTATTTATTGTATTTCTCACTACAGGCTAAAAATCTATCCAGTAAATAGCATAATATTTTAGCACAGTTCAGTTATGTACGGTATTGTACATTGTTCTGTATATTGCTCATATTGCACACAGTAACACACTCATATTACACCTACACATACACTCATATATATTTTTTAAACTGTACGTACAACATTTACCACAAACCTATTCTATTCAATTGTATTCCATTCTATTGTATTCTATTCTATTCTGTGCAGAAGGCTGCAGAAACCATGAATCCCTATGAGTGTGTGCATTGCTACTTAGTGTCCTTGAGAGAGCAGTAGAGCACTTCTGTGTGGAGTGCTGCTGAAGGAGTGTTTATCAATGTTTAAGTGGGGCATGCTTAAAAATAAATAGGAAATGGATATAAAGAGCTATTATGAAGAATACAACATGTACGAGGATGTTTTTATGCATAATCCTTTTTCTTCTTTTTTTGCGTTTAGAGAAAATAGAGAGAAAAACATTTTCATATTGCTATCAACATAATTATACAAAAATATTCTGTAGCAAATACACAAAATCTATGCAAACAGATGAATTAGTTGGAAACTCGCCATATCAAACAGCTACAGTTGTTTTCAGGATTTCATGCCTCTAGGACACATTTATGAATGTGATATGTATAACTGCTATACAACACTGCTGTTTAAACCCAAACCAGCTTCTATGCACAGCACATTATCCACTCTTTAAATGTAAAGGTCTTACAGCACTTTAGCTTTCAATATAGACACCTTGTCAAGATAGAGTGAAATAGTGGATTCCAGGTCTGCATCTCTCAAGGTTATGTTCAAAAATCTTAAGTGCATTCTTCTGTCGCTCTGATGCTTTCATTATTTATTTTGCTTATTTGCTAAAAATGAATAGAAAGGGAAAAAACATATACAGAGTGTATCCCAGGAAGCCTTAACTCATCAAGTAGTCCGGTTTCTTGTTTGAAATTAAGCGCAAGTTACCTCGAATAAAATGAAAGAGCACCCCTTATTCATTCATTGTATCTGTCACTGAAAGGGGGGTGGGGGGGGAATCGAGAGACCTGCTGTTCAGAGAGCTTGTTTTGGTTTTCGAGGTCACGCTCTGACTAAGCACTTGAGGAGAGGAAGCCCTATAATGGTGGAAGTAAAAGAAAGCAGGATGAACCTTTTATTCCGCCTGGTTCAAAGTTTAATATGAGTCTTTCTCAAACATCATCATGTCAGGAAAGATAAGGCTAGAGGGAGATCTAGAAGAAGCAAACAAACACTCGTCCCAAGCAGTAGTGGAGCATTGCAGGGACTGGGCATGTCAAGAAGCATATGAGATTAATCAAGGCAGGAAAAGGCAGCGGCTCAGAGAGCAGCTGGATTTTAGCAGTCTTTTCAAAGGGTGACAGGAGGTGCGCTGCTTAAACAGCGTTATGTCAATGACTCATTAAAACAAGTCCAAATGTTCAACTCACTGTAAACGGCCCTGCTCTGCCTCTTTAACCCGGTGAAGGCAGACATATGAAATAACAGACTTTTTTTTCTTTTTTTTTTT